GGGCGCGACCCACACAGTGCAGTGCTGGGACCGGGAATGCGCCGCGGGCCCGCCTCATGCCGCCGACCGGCTCCGAGCCCCCCAGGATGAACAAGAAAAAGGGAGACAAGGGCTTCGAGAGCCCGAGGCCCTATAAATTATAAGTATCGCTTCGTCTCCCCCTGGGGCTTTGTTTTCATTATGGGATTGCTTGCAACTGACCTGGGAGACCCGGGAATCCTGGTGGGGACCCCAGTTCCTCTCCCTGGGATGGGAAGGGTGTTTTGGGATGAAAATTATGAATGAGTGCTATTTACCGGATTTAGTTCCTTAGGTTAATAAGCCCCTGTACTTCTTTCAGGAGAACTCTGTACTTGGGATTCTCGCTGGATTTAAAATAGACTATTCTACTTTGTAGGAATTTATTAGTTGTTTATGTATTTTTTGAAACTGGATCTCTTTATGTAGTCCAGGATAGCCTTGAACTCACTGTGTAGCCCTGGTTGGCTTGGCAACGGCATCAATCTTCCTGCGTCAGCCTCCCAAGTTCTGGGGTGACAGGGCACCGTGCCACCTTGCCCCACTTGTAGGGTTTTTAAATGAAAAGATTGATGTGTGATTTCCAGTTCCTTTGAACATAGTCCTTATTTATCCCAGGATGCACTTGTGCTCTCATTTAATAATAGTATTTTTTCTTTTTTATATTTTTTAATGTACAACTCATCAGGTTGTCTGCATCACCAACATAAATTTCCAGAGAAAATCGGTTGTGGTAAGTTTATATTCCTAAATTATAAAGAGTAGTGAGCTGCCTTTCACGTCACTTTATAGTCTTCCTAAAATCTTAGGGCTAATTTTCAAGAATAGGCAGGAGTTAGAGTTCGGGTCTGACTCCAAGATCCTTTGGTTCTATGTGTTGCCTCAGGATTCTCATTCATTCTTTGTCTCTTCTCTGACTAAAAGTTTTATTTTTCTGATTTTATGTTGTGCAGTATCAAACCAAGCATTTTGGAGTTGTGCTTAAAACAAGAATAAGCTCATAGTGAGATTTCTCTCGTGGAAAAATTAAAATTTGTACTCTTACTGCTTGACTTGGCTTCCAAGAGGCCACTTTTGTTTGCTGACCTGGCTGCAGTGGTTTTGGTGCCATTGCTTTGCAGTGAGGTTTTGAATAGAGCATTTGAGGTCTCGTGCCCCCCATACCACTTTTTCAATATATGAGTTGCTGACATAATCCACTCTGGGAAAATCATTGAGAACCTGAGTGTTTAAGGTACTGTAGGTACCTCTGTACCTATATTAAATAGATTCAAATCTTAGGGCTAGTTTTCCTTGAAGAGCAGGATCCACTTCTCCCTCATACTTGTTGCCCATGTCTGTGTTTCCTTGGGATTAGCTGTAAACACAGAAAAGAATAATCTTTTTTTTTCTTTTTGAGACAGTGGCATTGTTGTAGTCCAGGCAGGCCTTGAACTCTCAGCTACTGTCCGGTCCTCCTGAGTGCTGGGATTACAGCGTGCACCACCACGCCTGGCAAGAATAAACTTTCATATGAACCATACAGCTCAGATAAAGCTCCTACCTTGTTCATTAAGCCTAGCGTGCTCATTTATGGAATTCCTTCTGCAGTATTCCTCACAGATTACTATTTTCCTCGTATCTCACTGTGGGATACTTAGGAATAGCATTTTGTCTGAATTGTGAAGGGAAGGTTTGAGGATTTAGGAGGTTACAATATTAACTGAAGTCAGAAGGGAAGCCCTTAATAAAGTTAGCATTCGTGAAAGTGGAGTAGGAAGAGTTTACACTATGACTGAGTTGCGGTGACCACAGAGTCTGAGACCTAGGAAGGCATGTGAGCTTTCCGTAAATTCTGGGTGATTTGAGGCAGAGGCAGCGGTGCTAAGGCACTTTCCTGAGGTATTTGAGTGTTAACTCATGGAATCTTCACAGTAACGTCTTCACGTAGGTAATACTCTACTCTTAACTTTCTAGAGAAAGAATGAGGTTAAATGACTTTGTTCGGGTTGCACAGAAGTGTTAACAGAGGAATGAAACTACAGCGTGCCTCAGCCTGGCAGAGAGGAACCTCTGGTCAGAATGTTTTCAGTCTTTTGTGGCACTGATCTCTGCACATCCCCAGCACGTCTAGTTGCCTTGGTTCACTGTCGAGGAACAGAATGGGCAGTCTGGGAGTTTCTGCTTGGCCCTGACTCCATGGGACAGGAACCCAGGTGGCTCTTAACCAGTTACTGAAGTGTCTGCGGTGTGTCGTGGGGCAAGGGAGGTCATTGTCATTCCCCTGTGGGAGCGTGGTGTGTGACCACCCAGGACTCTGATCCCAGCCCTTTTTAGTTGACATAAGGGTTATGGTGGTGCTCTGGGACTTGAGGTATGATGTTAGTTCAGAACCAGGAAGCTCAGAAAGGGTTAGGTCTTTTCCTTTCCCACTCCCTCCAGGGACACTCTTCGGGGACTGACCCTGTGTGGGTCTGGGAAGTGGCTGTGAGGCCGTACACCCTCATTGCTGTACTTTGAGTTGAAGTCTCCATCCACATTCTTTCCCTTGCCGGTCTCGTGGCTTTGGTTCTACTTCTCTTCTGTTGTTTCCTCTTCCTCTTTCCTGTCTGGGTTCCAGTCTGTCCAGAAATCCTTGTACTTGAAGGTAGTGAGTCCTTTTCTTTTTCTTTTAACAGATGCCTTAATTTTTACTGATAGTGTGTGTGAACCTCCAGGATGACAAAGTATGCATGACTCTTACGATTCGGTCAGGGAGACATTCGTGTTTGAAGTTAAAACGTGTGGTCAGCTCTGTGTGTGTGACTGTCTGGGGTCCTCCCCCTGAGGTGTAGTAAGTGTGTAGCAAGTTAGCAGAAATCAAAGGAATGTACTGTGCAGCACACCAATCTTTATAACAAAGCTCTTACCCTTTGTTTTTACAGGGATTTGTGGAACTGACTATATTTCCTACAGTCGCAAACTTGAATAGGATCAAGTTGAACAGCAAACAGTGTAGAATATACCGAGTAAGGATCAATGATTTAGAGGCGGCTTTCATTTATAATGATCCAACCTTAGAAGTGTGTCACAGTGAATCAAAACAGTAAGTTGTATGCTTTAAAGATCAACATTTTTAACAATCTTGTTGCTGTTTTTCATGATTCAACTAATGTTTCTTTTCTTTTTTCTTTTTCCTTTTTTTTTTTTTGGTACCAGGGATCGAACTCAGGTCCTTGTGCTTGTAAGCCAGGTGGTAGAACCACTGAGCTAAATCCCAGGCCCTCAACTAATGTTTCTTAATAGATTTTTCTCAGATTGTTGTTAGACTCAGGTTTCCCTTTTTTTTTTTATAACCTGTTGATTTACTACTCTGCACATTTGGATCAGGTGATTTTGCTAGTTTTCTATGATATAGTGAATTATTCTTTCCTTAGACTACAATTTTAAGAAAGTACTATGTAGGAATTTTAATTTTATTTCCCCCCTTTTTTTTTCTTGGTACTGGGGGTTGAACTCAGGACCTTGCGCTTGCGAGGCAGATGTGGCACCACTGGGCTAAATTGCCAGCCCATTCTTTTGGTTTTTTGAGGCAGGGTCTTGCAGTGTAGTTCAGACTGGGCTTGAGCTGACTATGTAGTCCAGGCTGGCCTTGAATTTACTGTTATCCTCCTGTCTCAGACTCCCAAGTGCTGGTATTACAGGTACACATCTCTGTGCCTGGCTAGGAGCATTAAATTTTTTAGCCATTTCCTGTTTTTTGTTTTTGGAACCAGTTCATAAATATCAAATGTTTTCAAGTTACGGATGTGGCTCAGCAGTACAGCACTCGGATAGCATGTACAGAGCCCTGGCTTCATTCCTCAGTGCTGCCAGAGGAACCAAAGGACAGAAGTTTCCAGTGGCAGGGATGATCACCATGCCCTTTAGACCAGAGCCTAACTAAAAATGTTCCATAATGGTGTTGGCTGCTTTAAAATAGCTTGTCAAACATTATCTGCAACAATGTCAGCTATTAGAGGGCACTCGTTTCTTTCAAAGTTTTGATGGCATTGGCTTCTGTCACTTTCTGTGCTCTCTGTGGTTTGGGATACAGTACCAAGCTGGGGTTATAACCTTGTTTTAATTAAAATGACATTTTGACAAGCATAGCATGTATAATTTTGCTTAAGGCAGCAGTTCCCTTTTTTTTTGTTTGTTTTTTTTGATTATTTGAGACTGACCTGGAACTCACTAGGTAGCCCAGGCTGGTCTTGACCTCACAGCGATCCTCCTGCCTCAGCCTCCCAAGTGCTGGGATTACAGGTGTGAGCCGCCACGCCTGGCTAGGCAGCAGTTCTCAAAGTACGCTGTGGGACAGACTTGCCTATCACTGCCCATTAAACACCTGGCAGCGGGAGCCTGCTGTTTATGTTACTGAGCTGCCTGGGGGTTTGTGATGAGCTGAAGCTTGGGGTCCACTGCACTGGGAAGGTTGAGAAAGAAGGCTTATTTTTAGAAAAAAATGTGTGACCCTAGGTAATCATCGGTTTACAAGGTGTGATCAGAAATCTAGAGTGTGCCGAAAACATGTACCCACACATCGGCAGTTCTCTGTACTAATAAATGCCTGGAAGCTCCTGGCTACCACTTGGAGCACCTCTTGTAATTGTAGAGGCCACAGGTAACTCGTATTAATCTCATGATGCCTCAGTAAGTTCAGAATCAAAATATACATCCAGGTTTTCTTTTCCTAATACATATATTTCTTGGCAGACTGTATGTTGAATATTTAAACTTTTAAAAATGATTACAGTGAAAGTGAAAGACAATGATGTTAACGCCCCTCCTTGGGCCATGCTTATCCCATTGTTCTTGTTGCTTTCTGGAGCAGCTCGGGGTGAGTGTCTGTAGTTGCGCTGCTGTGGCTGTCTTGGTGTCCCAAATCTGTTCAAAACATTTCCCTTTCATGGCTGTATTTTTTTTTTTTTTTTTTTTTTTTTTTTTTTTG